TTTTTTTTTTTTTTTTTTTGTAAATATAAACATAAAACCAACTTTAGGCTTATTATAAAGTCGAAAAATGTAGTGTTGGAACAAAATTTTTTTGTCACTTTTTTCTCTGGTTTTTTTTGGTCTGTTTGAAAAATAAATAGCCAAAAGATTTGAAAATGAGAGGCTGTTCAGTCCACTAAATGTTTTAGTGTTTTCAAAAAAAAAATTAAACTTTATGCCGAAAACTTGACAGCTTTTACTTTTGGGAATAAATATACATATATACATAAATATACGCATACACACATAACAGAAAACAGCAATTTGAATTTAAACAAAAAAAAAGAAGCTTTTCGATCGTCAACTTCTATTTTGCTTACCAAAAGCTGACACATTTTTAAGTTACTAAGCTAACCAGACTAATCATCATACTATGTTGCTATCACAGCTGACACTTGTCAGTACAACAGTCTGTTTTTCAATTCTTATTTCTTGCCAAATTAAGATTATAATCTCCGCTATTGTTAATTAGTCTATACTTTTAAGCTCTATCTATTTTCTACACCTATTTTCCTTATAATCTACCGTAACTTTTATGCTTGTAAGTGAGCGACTGAGTGACTGTAAGTCTGTGTTTAAATCTTTGTCTATTTGAATGAACAAATAAATATAAGTATTTATGCCTGTGTTCCGATAAACAGCGAATGTCTGCATTCGTATCCGTGTCTGAGTAAACAATTTGCTGGGTTTGCATGTATTTATGCGTATAAGTGACCAAGTAAGTGAATAAGTATCAGTTTGGGTGTAAATGTATCCTTGTTTAGGTAAATTAAATAAGCGTGCGTGTGTGTGTGTCTAATTAACTGCAAATAAATAAGTGTATGTGCGTGTCTGAGTGAACAAACGAGTATATCTGTGTGTTTCAGCGAAGAACAACTGTGTGAATGTATCCGTATTTGTGCGAAGATTGAGTGTTTGTCAATTTGAAGTTTTAAATTTGTTCTACCGTTCACACTCCTCTTTTTTTGCTTAAATAATTGATCAAAAAAAAAATAGTTTTTACACTCAGACCAATAAAATGGCGCAGATAATAGACGTAAAAAAAAAAAATTCAAGAAACCAAATAAAAACAAATAAAGCATTCATTTTAGAATAGCAGATAACTTACGAGCTTTAGTAATTTTGAATGCTGAAAGCATCAGAACATATGCCCCAAATGTTGCTTATCAACGTCGACGGCTCCATTTACATCTGAACCATAAGTGAGATAAAAAAAAAAAGCCAAAAAAAATTTAAAAATGCTTAAAATTCGAAAAAAAAAAAACGTTGTGTGTAAGGATAAAACGTAAACAGCATTAAAACGAGAAACAAAAAAGATATCAGTTATACCATTTATATTAGCAGAAATTTTTAATAGCAACAGCAACAAACAAATAAACTTATTCATTTCTAGATTTACTCACTCATTATTCATATATTTATAATATACTTTACACCAATACTACCTTAAGTTTATCATTTTACAAATTTTCTACAGCTGTAAATTATATTGGTTACATAGCAAAAAACTATTTTCGCACTTTATTTTTTTTATT